GCTTATCCTTCCAAGCTTCCCATCATCACTGACACCCTGCCTTTGGGGTCTGCTGGTGTGGGGAGCTCTGGCAGGTGGCCCCAGACTGGGCCATCTCACACTTCCCAAGTCTGAATGCTCTGCCAAGTTCTAAACAACTCCAGGGTAAGCCTGCTTAGACCACATTCAATTCAAGCCTGCTTAGACCACGTTCACCAGCTGCGAGTGACGTGGCCGCCTTCAGTTGGCCCATCCTTCTGCTGCAGGACCTTGATCTCACGTCTAGTGTCCCCTTCCTTCTGTGCCCAGTCTGGTGCTGGGGGCAGCTGGGGGCAGCTTCTTCTTAGGCTCCTGCCTGACCGTAATCTCTCCACTAGGAATGCTTTATGTCTTTCAAAAGCACTCCCATGCAGGAAATAAGTCAGAAAAACAGGCAGTGTTGGTGTTCAAAGAGATCAAAAAGATAGCCAGAGAGAGCCAAATTATTATTAATTTTTCATCCTAAAGCTTCCAGCTACATACAAAACTATTTACATAGACTGAATACTGCTAATTCCAACTGAACGTAACTGTGAGTCCCTAATTTGATTCGGCTGGGTGAAAGACTTGGAAAATTCTCATTTGACTTCTTAGTGAAATTTAAAAAAAAAAGTCTGTACCTATGTTGTGGTGAGTTTCCTTGGAAAGCTGACAACCCAGAAAACACTATAATTAAAAGGGTATTTGCTTCTTTAAAGAATCCAGAGTTTAAAATAGGCATAATTAAAATCCAAGAACATTTGTGCATTATAGAATGGTTTAAGGGTTTTGACTAAGCAAAGGATGGGTTGATTTTACTCTTCTAAATTTTGTGTTCCACGCACAGTGTATGCTCGCTCACTAAACACTGGATGAGGGACATACACTGGGTGGTGATGTTCATTTTGGTTTATACTGAATTTAAATTAATGGCTTTAGAACACATTTGGCACTAGGCATTGTATTTTTATTAACTTAGAATGTTTATTTCTTCTCTTCTGAAGGTGTCTCGCACCCTTGCTGGCCGTGTAGACTGTGTCTAACCCTCTCCATATCCCCTGGGTCCACGGTGACCGGGACACAAGAAACGCTTGACAAATGTTTCTTGATAAGGAGAGAGAATGATGCCGAGTCTCGACTTTCTGGGATGCGGCCCGCTAAGCCCGTGGCCCTGCGTTTCGAATGTATAAAAGTTCCGAACACACTGGGGACAGAAATCTCCTCTTGGTGTCTGCCGTTTAAATTTAATCAGAGCACATGTTCGTAGGGTTATCATTTTCCTGCCAGCGGACGGGACAAAGACCGAAGAAGGGGAATATGCAATCGAACTTCTGTGCTCAACAAACTTTTCTTCAGCTATTCCTGGGTGAAAGGCCTAAGGCCCGGTGCTGGGCGCTGGAGGGTGACCGAGAGAACGAGCAGGGTCAGCCGTCCCTGAGGACTGACGAAACCGCTAACTCGTTTAACCCTCACGGTGCCAGGATGACCCGGTTCTGCCGTTTGAGGCCGTCCAATCTAGAACGGACTTCTTCTTCCCTTCCCTCTCCTCCCTGTGCTCTCCTGCCTCACCCACAATGCCAGGATGGGGCTGGCGGAGGGAGGAGAAAGAGAGAGGGCGAAGGAGAGAGAGGAACAGATCTGGCTCTCAGGGTTTGGCTGGATTCCAGGATGAGGCAGACTACGCAACAATAGATTTGGACTGTTATCAAAAATGATCTTTGCAGGCTTGGAACAGGGTGCCGATCTTCTGGAGCGCATGCTTTGATAAATCTGTCTTGATTTTCAAATTTATTAACAAAACTCGTTTCCATTTTTTTTTTTTCTCTATTGGCATCTCGGTTTTGCTCCAGCAAACTCCTTTTCCCCTTTTAAGATTCAGCTGGTGAGAAACAGCCTGCCCAGAATTCTATTGTAGCTACAGCACGGGGGGGAACTCTAGCCAAAGACACACCGTAAATTACTATGTGTGGCAAAAAGCAAAAGTACTATGAAATATTCTTCCTAACAGAAGATCGGAGATATACTGAACAACTTGATTTAAAAAAAAAAAAAATTAAACTCAAGGTATCTTGCAAGTCCCTGCATCATACATTGTGCCTTCTCCTGAAGCCAGTTCTCCCCAGTTATCCCACAGAAATAAAACTGCGCATGTTAGTTTCTGTTCTAGGGAAGAGATGAAGGGGAAACGCACACTGGTGGACCAAACTCGAGCATCCTCTGGGCGGGGGGCGCTCGCCACTGTTCTTGTAGGGGCAGAAGGATGTCCCCCCTGGAATATTTTAAGAATTCCTTGGTCAGCCACTGCTTGGGAGGTCTGGGGCAAAATCTCACAGTTTTTGTAGAAAGGTGATGGGTGAGGGATCCTTTATAGAATAGAGAGAGGGTTTTACCTCTTTTTCAGTATTTGGCTATTTCCTTGTCCGTGAATTAGAGCTACACTTTGAGAGGTCGGCTGTTAGGTGACTGACAGATGCAAATTTGTACTTAAAATGAGTGTCTGTGTCACCTATGGTGATACAGCTGAAAGATGTTTGTGTATCCCCTCAGGCTACGGGGCCTCAGCCCTCCATCACCCGCCCCCCGCCCCCACTCCGCATTTCAAGCAGCAGTCCCGTGGGATCTGCCCAACACTGAGAATCAAGACCACACGGGGACTCTTGCTCTGGGCTGTGTCCCTGAGATGAGGTGAGGCTGAAAGCCAGCTGCCTGCTGTTCGCAAGCATCTTCAGGGTCCAGTGGATTAAGAAAGGTTAGTCGCTCGCCCTTTTCTCTCACCGGTCCTGAGCACCCCGCACAAGCCACACGCCACATTCTTGGGTCCATCTCATCTTGAAGAGCAGGGAAGAGACGTTGACCTCCCGGGGGCCTGGCATTTGAACTTGAGCCCTTTCGTCTCTTCCCTCAGCCCTCCGTACGGAACCTGTGCTGCGTTTGGCTCCTTAATCCTACCGACCCCTAAGGAACAAGCCTCGCTCGCGAAAGCCTCCAAAAGTTCAGGTCCCACTGTCAGGCTCTTATCAGGTGCCGGGGAAAACCGAGAGAGGCCGGGGAAGCGGGCTCTTGGGTAGCACTTCCGAGGAGGACCAGGGCGGGGACGGTGCCTGCCCAGGGGAGAGGTCCCCAGCAGCTGCAGCAGGGGCCAGGGGCCGAGCCGCAGGTAGACGCCAGGTTGCAGGACGCCCTGCGTGAGCCTGCGGATCAGCATCATTATTTTTCTGGCCCCATCCCGATCAGGCTCTGAGATCATGCACATTTCTTACTTGGAAAATGGTTAGGTTGTTTTTAACAAAAAAGTCACCCCTCTCTCCACCAAAAAAAAAAAAA